TGATATTTCTGGAGGCTCCAGGAAGAATCCATTTCCTTTTGTTTTCCAGCTTCAAGGAAAAACAAACCAAACCCACTGCCATCAAGTCAATTCCAACTCAGTGACCCTGTAGGACAGAACAGAACTGCTCCCCTATAGGGTTTTCAAGACTGTAAATCTTTGTGGAAGCAGACCACCTTATCGTTCTCCCACCAAGTGGCTGGTGGATTCAAACCACAAACCATTTGGTTAGCAGCTGAATGCTTCAACCACTGCATCACTAGAACTTTGAGAACCCACCTGGCACAATTAAGTCTCCTCCCTTGAATCACTGATTTCTTCCATCATCCTATCTCCCTCTGTCTTCGATGCACCTATGTCTTTGTCTTATAAGGACCTTTCGGATTCCGCTGGACCCATGTGGATAATCCATGATAGTCTCCCAATATCAAGATCCTTAATTACATCTGCAAAGTTCCTTTTGCCACATAAGGTAACATATTCATAGGTTCTGGGGGCTATGGCCTCTTTTGTTATTGTTAGGTACCGTCGAGTTGGCTCCAACTCACAATGACCCTAAGTACAACAAAACGAAACACTGCCAGTTATGCACCACCCTGACAATCCTTGCTATACTTGACCCCATCTTTGCAGCCACTGAGTCAATCCATGTTTTTGAGAGTCTTTCCCTTTTTCACAGACCCTCCACTTTACCAAGATGATATCTTCTCTAGGGAATTGTCCCTTCTGACAAAGCAGGTGAGACAAAGTCCGGCCATTCTTACTTCCAAGGAGCATTCTGGTAGTACTTCTTACAGGACAGATTTATTCATTCTTCTGGCAGTCCATGGTACTTTCAGTATTCTTCACCAGCACCATAATTAAAAGGCATCAACTCTTTTGTCTTCCTTATTCATTGTCCAGCTTTCACATGTATATGAGGCGACTGAAATTACCATAGCTTGGGTTAGATGCACCTTAGTCTTCAACACTTTAATGAAACCTTTTACAGCAGATTTGCCTAGTGTAATACGACGTCTGATTTTTTCACTCCTGCTTTCATGGGCATTGATTGTGTATCCAAGTAAAATGAAATCTTTAACAACTTCAATCTTTTCTCCATTTATCAGGATTTTGCTTATTGGTCCATTTTTGTTGTCTTGATGTTGAGGTCTAATACATACTGAAGACTGTAGTCTTTGATCTTCATCAATAAGTGCTTCAAATCATCTTCACCTTCAGCAAGCAAGATTGTGTCATCTGCATATCACAGGTTGTTCATGAGTTTTCCTTCAATCATGATGCCACGTTCTTCATAGAGTCCAGCTTTTTGGATTTCTTCCTTCAGCATACAAACTGAATAAGTGTGGTGAAGGAATCTAACCCTGATGAACACCCCTTCTGGCTGTAAACCATGTAGTATTCCCTTGTTCTATTCAAACAATAGCCTCTTGGTCTATGTGCAGATTCCTCATGGACACAATTAAGTGTTCTAGAATTCCCATTCTTCACAATGTTAACTATAATTTGTTATGATCCACACAGTTGAATGATTTTGCATAGTCAATAAAACACAAGTACAAATCTTTCTGGTATTCTTTGCATTTAGTCAAGATCCATCTTTCATCTGCAGTGATGTCCATCATTCCATGTCCTCTTCTAAATCCAGCTTGGTTTTCTGGTAGTTCTCTGTCAATATACTGCTGCAACCATTTCTGAATTATCTTCAAAGTTTTACTTCCTTGTGATATTAATGATATTGTTCAATAATTTCACATTCTGTTGGATCACCTTTCTTTGGAATGGGCACAAATATGGATCTCTTCAGTTGGTTGGCCAGTTGGCTGTCTTCCGTATTTCTTGGCATAAACAAGTAAGCATCTGCAGTGCAACATCCGTTTGTTGAAACATCTTGATGGGCATTATGTCAATTCCTAGAGCCCTGTTTTTTGACAATTTGATTGTGGTATTGGTGCAGAATACTGAAAAGACCATAGACTGCCAGAAGAATGAACAAATCTGTCCTGGCCACCAGAATGCTCCTTGGAAGCAAGAATGGCCAGCTTGGACTTCTTCATTTGATACCATTGTTCTTGATCATATGCCACCTCCTGAAATGGTTGAATGTCAACCAATTCTTTTTGATACAGTGACTCTGTATTCCTTCTATCTTCTTTTGATGCTTCCTGTATCATTCAATATTTTGGCCATAGAATCCTTCAATATTGTAATTTGAGGCTTGAATGTTTTTTTCAATTCCTTCAGCTTGAGAAATGCTGAACATGTTTTCCCCTTTTGTTTTTCTAATTCCACATCTTGGCACATTTCATTATAATAATTGACTTTGTCTTCTCGAGCTGCTCTTTGAAATCTTCAGTGCTTTTGTCTTATCATTTCTTCCATTCACTTTAGCTACGCTGCATTCAAGAGCAAGTTTCAGAGTCTCTTCTGACATCCATTTTGGTCTTTTCTTCCTTTCCTATCTTTTCAATGACCTTTTGCTTTCTTCATGTATGATGTTCTTGATCTCATCCCACAACTCGTCTGGTTTCAGTCATTGGTGTTCAATTCATCAAATCTTTTCTTCAGATGGTCTCCAAATTCAGGTGGGATATAATCAAGGTCGTATTTTGGCTCT